CGATTAATCGCGTCGTCGAATATAAGTATAGTTAAAGAAAGAGATCGTACGTGCTTCATTTCCGCGACAAGGATTTTCTAGAGCGAAAGATAATATATTACTAAGAGAAAGAGAATGAACAAGATATGTAATTATAGGAGAGGAGTTAAGAATTGTAGGATATATATTGGGTTGTCCAGAAAGTTCGTGCCAATTTTCAATAGGTGGCATCAAGAAGAACGAAACTTTGAAGTTACCCAAAAAGATGGAAGAAGGTTGTGGAACAGAATGCCACTTATATATAATTTAATAAATATATATACCAAAAAAAAATTTTTCAATGGATTACATTTCAATCTTCCCATCAAAATGAAGAAAGAACTTTCCAGACAACCCAGTACTATTCATCGATTGATTCTCTACCATTGATCGTTCTATTTAAGAATATATGTATATCATTTTATATGTTAGAGAGTTTAATATAACTGTGTTGTATGAATGCGAAATAAAACTTGGTCTTTGACTTTCCCCGTGAGCCGATCTCAGCGTGACAACGAAAGAATCAGGTATATAGGTATAGGGCACGAGCATCTCGCTTTCGTGCTGATCCACGCGGGATCTACACGGGCGCGTATAGATCCTTTACGGCAAGTCTATGAATCATATGGGAGAGACATAATAGAGAGAAAGAGGGAATACAAAAGGGGGATAGGATAGGTGGATGTATACGAGTGAAGAAGAAGAAGAAGGAGGAGGAGGAGGAGGAGGAAGAGGAGGGAAGAAAGACAAGGCGGTGAAGAGGTCGGTGCACCGTGGAAGAGAAGCAAAGCGAGCACAACCCGAGTAAATCGGGGTGGTCTCGACTTCACCGTTGACTAACTGCGACACGACAGGCTGCCATACTCGGTTAAACTCCCCCGCCATACGATCGCCTTCGACGGAGAACAAATTAATGTTTTACTCGACGCATATGGGTCGATCTTTCTCTCTCTTTCTCTCTCTCTCTCTCTCTCTCTCTCTCTTGACCATCGATCTTCATTTTCATGATGTTCAATCAAAATTGCAAATTTCAAACAAAATTGCTTTTCTACAAATACACAATTACGATCGTAAATATTCTTAAATATTACTAGCAAGTTAAGAGGGAAAGTTTATTGAACCGATATGTGATAGAGTACTCATTGTTATAATCATTCGTTTGACTAGCTACGCAGAAACGTTGCTTGATATGATTGGTCCTTAAGATCAACCAACGAGGGATGACGATGGGTATTTAAGCGAAGAAAATTCGTCACGGTCCTCCCTATGACGAGACCTCTGTATATAATACACAGAGGTACGGACACAAGAACGGTTCCCTATTCTAAGGTGACAGCAATCTCGTCTCTCTTAGACTTCGCATCGTACTTGATGGTTGACGCGAAAATCAGCCTGGTCATCGTAGATCGTTGTAGAGAAAGAGGGAGAAAATATCAAGGCTGATGGAACGCGCGAAAGTAACACACAAGACACGACGATTATGTTCCTCACTTGCCCGCACTTTCTCAGCTCGCATAATTATGCAATCTCGTAAAGGATAAATGTCGTGAGATTAGATGGAAAAATAAAGAGAAACTAAAGCTACTCATTAGAAATTGCAATTAAACGAGATACGTCGGGCACGCTCTTGTTGCAATTAAGAAACGTTCTAATTGAAATCGTAATCGTCATTCTAATAAGTACCATGATCGAACCGTTCAAATTTATATGGCGATTAACGGTTAAGGAATTAGAATCTCCATTAAACTCACGCATCGTGAGAAAGATCTAACTAATCCAACTTGTGTAAGGTTGGAAATGAAATCGCACATTCATACGAGAAACGTTGCCCCATACCTTTAATAACGTTAAGAAAAAAAAACGGAATTGTGGCCATGGCATTGCACGCAAGACGAGATGGTAAAATGCTTCTATACAATTTAAATAACCTTAAGGTATCCATTATCTGTACCGATTTATTCGTAGATTTTACTGGAAATTAGGAGACGAGAGAGTATTAGTAGCTCGCTAATGGATTCCGGCTCGTTCTTTGCCATTTACGTTGTGATCGCGTAAGGATCGGTAAGTCTTTTTACAACTCCAGGTAATAAAAGTTTCAAGAGCCGAAGATGGTGCCGTTCGATGGAGCTAAATATACATAGGTATGGATAGAAAAGTATCTAAGTAAGTAGCAATCGGCCAGATAGATAAGGTGAGAGAAGAGAGAGAGAGAGAGAGAGACAACTCGGTTAAAATATCCGATAAGGAGCACGCGCGAGCGGAAGGCTTAACGATTTCATAAAAGAGATAGCAACCGAGGGCCGAGCTAATTAAGCGATATAATCCCTACATTCTAAGGGCCGTTAAAGGCAACATCAAATGCACCTTTATCTACGGTCTGAGATACTTAAGATAGTACCACCGAGCATCCACTCGTCTAATTATTATCGACACTTTCTTATATGTGCTTTGGGTCAATCAAAAATATCAAATCAAAACAAGTCGGATAAGCTGACAAAGTTTTGTTTTAAACGATATCAAGCTTGATGATACCTTGATAAAAATCCGGTTCTCTACACGACGAGTTTTGCTCGAACGAATAATCATCCTGTACAAGAATTTATAAATATTGAAAAAAATTCATAATTTCTAATGAAATAATTTTAATGTGGAAGTTACTTTTACTAACCGTAATCCCTTCACGCAGAGAAAAGCGAAATGATGCGATAATGCGATAATGCGATGATGATGATGATGCGGCATTAAACGTTGTAATAAAATTATATAACGATCTAATAAGCACCGATAAACTTTCCCTCCCCCATTTACAGGACTACGAAAAATCCTATAGTAAAAAAGAGAAATAAAAGAAGAAAAGAGGAAGAAACGGCTAATGTAGATCGTAGGAGGAGGGCATCGTTATACCTACTACTACCTGTGACTGCGGCTCGCGGTATCAAGACGACCGGTAATTCTAATCCAGAACCAGTTTCCTGACAAGGGTACCTTTTTATTTCAAGTAAAATTACTCGCCGATAACTGGTATGACATTCACGGCGCTTTAGGACGCCATAATAATATCGCATCAATGGTACAAATTCTCTTAGTTTCGAGTTTTCTTCGAAACTCGTTGAATTAAAAGATTTTTATATTAGACAAAAAAAAAGAAAGAGAGAGAGAGAGAGAGAGACAAATCATAGTTAGGAGAATAATAAAAAAGAAAATACAAATATATCACAATCGAAAGTTGATCCACGATTATGTCCTTCTTCATGATCGTAACCGATAACCGAACGTGCATACAGAGAAATCGTTTATTGTAGTAGTTTTCGAATCGAATCGCATTCGATATATCGACTTCTTAAAAACCTCGAGGGCTTTCGATAGCGGCTCCGAGAATGTCGTGCGTACTTCCAGCGAGACGACCTGCTGGGTCGTCGAATTCTTCGACCCTTAACCCTATACTTCTCCGTACTTATCTGTATACGTGTGTGTACGTACGACAACGACGACGAACGGTCTTTCTTCGTTTTACGAGTGGTCACGAGTTAAAGCGGTATTCACATCTCGAAACGGCATAAAGTTTCCAATGAAATAACAAAACTATTTTTCGGAGTATAACGACTTTAATAAAACTATGTTTCATAGTAGGTATTATTATATTTGTGTATTCGCTTATATACATAATCATTTAACGTGTTACCCAAAAAGGCCCAAATAAGAATAATCGTATAAATTCGATATACCTTAATAATTTTATTATCGCCAAAGATGTAACGGCTAAATTTATAGTCGAGTTTAAAGTCCCGTCATCGTACCTTTCGTACCTTTTTTTCGCTCGAGACTTGCGCTTGCTTTTATCGGCTCGTTTCGCGAGATCCGTTTCGTGTTCGCGAGCGACACCTTTCTTTCTCTACCTTTTCTTTTCTACCATACCACCAACTGTCCTATATTTATTACAAATATATTCCCATTTTTTGTCTACGACAAGATAAGGACCGATGGAAATAAAAAATCAACGCGATTTTAAATAAGATGCGAAACGAAGCGAGGAGACCTATATATATATACATATAAGTATATTCGTCGAAATGGACGTTCACTCGAACGAAGAAGACCTTCGAGGACTTTTGTCGAGTCAGGGTTCGAGTCCAGGGTTCGAGTCAGGTTCGAGTCAGGTACGAAAGGAAAGAAACGTTTCGAGCTAGTCTCTTCGATGGAGAAGGGGGCGACGACCGATCCCCCGGATGATCGAATCTGCAAAGGAAATGTCCTCGAAGGATATACAACGGTGACATTTGCTATCGGGTTAACGCCCACGCCAGAACTTGCTTCACAGGTGTGTCCTTCCTCTTCTTTCTTTTTTTTTTTCCTTTTCATCTCTCTTTTTCTTCTTTCTCCTTTTCCTTTTTTTAAAAAAAACCTATCAAAAAATGTTGTTCTCTTTCTCGTGAGTGCATGCTCGTGCGCGAGCGCAATAGCGAGCACACCGAGCAAGGAATGCGCACGCCACTTTCTTCGTCTCTTTATGGAAACGCGAGAAGTGTGCGAATCGGTACTCTTTGCCTTCCTAGCTGCCGGATAAACTGTGTGTGAGAGAGAGAGAGAGAGAGTGAGAGTGGTGGATAGATTGAGAGGGAGGAGCCAGGGGAAGGGAGAAACGCGAATTCTCATACGGTTCTCTTGAGTCAGACCGCACCTGCGCGATTCCTCTCTTAGATCGTTCTACAAGTTCTCCTATCGCCGTATACTCGTGATTAAACATTTATACATTCGTATGCTAACCTAAAATGCTGCTTCTGAGATCGCCTTACTTAGAGAGAGAGAGACCCCGGCCCCGCGTCTCGTTCTTGAGAAATCGAATGCTATACGCATCGATTATATATATATTTTTTTTTATGTAGTATCATGCGCTTTTTACGCTCTCGTGATTTCTCGATCGCTTAAATACATTCACGAAGATATTTATTATGTGAATGCAATTTTGACGGGTTTTTTTTTTCTCAGAAAAAAAGATAGCACCGACCAAATGGTGGTCCTTCGAACGTAACCGAACGAATGGCCATCATTCTTCAGGGGCCATTTTTTTGTTTTTTAAATATACATATATAAAAATGTAAAATCTAGTCTAATTTTTTCTACAATTACTTTCCATTCCATGATTTTATGGTCACGCTTCTCGGAGAACGACAATAGCGGTGGCAATAGAGTTTCGTAGAATAAGCATATAACATGCTCGCTAGAGTCTACTCTACACCCACGGAAAAAGTTCTCCTTGCTGGAAGTCTGGAACATTCAGCATTCGGTTGAAACGAACATCGCGACAGAGAGACCAGGATAGGACACCACGTGTCGAGATCCATTTTACGAGGAGACTCAATAGATTATAGAGACGTTAGAATTTCTAGAAGGCCCTCCTACCTGCTGCGCGTCTTATATCTCAGATTTTTCTCCAATTTATTGAGCGTTCTCCTTACTTGTCGTCATCGTCGTTCTTCAACGTAAATACCTATAACAGAAAACTTTTCTTTTAAACGTCGAGTAAATACTTTATGGTATCCTACAACGCGAATTCCAATATGACTACGAATCCGAAAGTAAATAATATCTCTCTTTTACGAGAACTATCAAAATTATAACTACAAACTTAGAAATTAAATGGAACATTCGAAGCTTCGTCATAATAAATTTTCCTTAAACTAGTATAAAATTGTAACGAGCTAGGAAATAAACTCGAATGTTAAAAAAATAACGATCAAACTAAAAAGTATTAATATTTGTCTTCTCTCTCAGAAGTTTCGAAATACAAAGTAAGTTTCTAAGACTAAGTCGTATGACTCTCGTTCTCGCAAGTATCCTTCAAAGTCCAAGAATAGGATCTCGAAGCCGTGGAAGATGCTCGCTGTCACGCTGTCTTATCCTGTCCTGTCCTGTCCTGTCCTCGAAGAAGTCCTTTTAACTTGCGTTCGTGGACCAAGGGGCCACGACGACAGTCGGGAATATCTCGGGTGGACCATGAATACGAGCGTAGCGTAGCTCGTAAAAAGGTAAACCGGTGACAAGCACTATGACGCGGAATTTACGACGCCGAGGTCGCAGCCCAGGTCGAATCGTGAACACCGCAGGACAAGTTGTCGTCGTCGTTGTCGTTGTCGTTGTCGTTGTCGTTGTCGTCGTCGTAGTCGTCGAAGTCGTCGTAGTCGTCGAAGTCGTCGAAGTCGTCGTTGAAAAATGAACTTCAACGAAATCGCAAGTTTCACGATTAAAATCAATTTTATCTACCCGTTTTGTTATGTGTTTTTTCTTTTTCAAAATCCACTTTAACGATCAACAAAACAAAGAAATCTAAATAAACGTTGATGATCCAACCGTTTAAGAAAGCATTACAAATACAATCTTAACGATTAAAATATCCTTCCTCTCTTTTTAGAAAGTATACTTCGTTCATTACTTTGATATCAGAACTTAAAGCTGCTTTCCACGCGGTAGCCTTTTAATGCGCTTGTTATGTACTACGGTGATATAAACGACTCGACTGCAAGATACTAGATACGACAAAGTCTTGACTTATGGTATGACCATAATTGGCATGAGAGAAAGAAAGAGAGAGAAAGAGAGTGAAGTGACAATATTTCGTTAACGTTTACTTCACGAAGAAGAGTCTTTCTTCTATGGTCAATGATCGTACACACATATTGTCTTTCCTTCTCAATCTTTTACACGAGAAATGGAAAGAAAAAAAAAAGAGAGAGACGTTTATGTGGACAAGTATCTTCTCTTTAGGGTTTATAGAGCTTACGCGTCTTATACATATCCATAGCTACCGTGTTGCATGGCATCTCATTAATATTTCAATTACTACCTTGCATTTACGATCGTGCGACAGACTCCGTGTGTGAGTAAGAGCTTATATGTACGTGTAGAGAGAAAGAGAAAGAGAGAGAGAAATAGATGCACAGGTAAAGGAATACGAGTTTAACACAGGCGGCAGCTTTGTCATCCTGATCTTCCCGTTCTCTTTCTCCATCTTCTTCTTTTTCTTTACGAACCAACATCGAGAGCTCAAGCTCGTAATCCGCGTTCCTGTCGAAATTCCAACGCTCGGAGGATTTATTTGCGATAAAATGGTTATTGGTCGGCCCTTAAACCCTCTCTACTCCACCACCATCACCCCTCTTCTTTATTTTATTTTATATTTTTTTTTTCATTTTTTTTTCATTGCAACACGAATGCCAAGAATTCGTTCGATAGACTCGAAGACTTTTGCGATTTTGCACCTCGACCTCACGATATTATTATTATTACCCTTTCCCTCCCTTTCTCTCTCTCTTTCTTTCTCTTTTCCACGATAGAAACGTCACAATACGTTTTACTTTTACTCAATGCGAGTCTCGGGCGACGTTTCGCGTCCATATTTATGTTAAATGTCCGGCAATGAAAGTGACAGGTCGTTAAGAATTCACTTGGAAGAGAAAGAGAGAGAGAGAGAGAGAGCGTGAGCACGAGTAAATGTCAGCTGTAAACGCATCGTTACGATGGAAAATTAGTTCTAATACGTTGCTCTTGATCTCTCTTTCTCTCTCTCTCTCTCTCTCTCTCTTTCTATCTTTATCTTTCTCTTTCTCTTTCTCGATTCTACATATGTTCCGCAAATGCTAATACACGTGATGCGAGACAAGTAATAATAGTATGCTTCGCCTCTAATGTCAACTATACCTGTCATTTAATTCTATAAACGATCCACGAATCCGTATATTCTTACATCTATGTATATATATATATATACTTACATACATATGTAAATATGCATATATGTAGTTTACTTACTTGCATATATGCCTACACGTAGTACCCCTACGCTTTGCACGTTTCGCGCCTTCTCGCGTAATTCATCTCGAACGTGTGACCCGTCGCGATTAATGACTTGTTTTTGCCGTTCTGTAGCGAGAAACTAACTCTAAAGTCGTGCGCGTTACACGATGCCATTGAATCTTGAATCCTTACGTCACCCTTTACGATGAATATGAAAACGCGTGTTGTTAGAAGAGGAGATATACAACGCGGAATATAATTCCATAAGTTTCGTTACTCGTTCGTTACTCGCAAACGTGCATCGAACCGAACGAAATTTTTTATTCGAAACTTATTCAAGTATTTTTTCGAGAAATAGTAGATAAATAAAGAGACAAAGAGAGAGAAAGAAGAATTCTTGAGTTTAAAGATTTCTCAATGTTATTACTTGAATCGTAAGTTGAGGAAACACCTTAAACCCACTTCCCAAGACTCTATGAGATATTTGAAACTTTGCAATTTCTCTCCTGAACTCTTTCGTTTGCCATCAGAAATCGTAACTCTTTGAGTTACTGGACGACACAACGAGAAACGATAAATAAATAAATTCGGAAAAGAGAATTATGTTAAATCTGTTGAAAACAAAAAAAAGACATAAGTTCACTCTTGTTTGACCACATCAACGTTCGTTCATGCGTTCAATAACACAACAAATCTCAGCCAATGCAATTTGCATTTAATCGGTCGAGCTTTGTAATTAATCGAGTACGAGGTAGGTAACGAGCTGCGTGCGGGAATCCGTTGGCCTGATCCATGGAATTGCAAGCATCTATCATCTATTAATTAAGCGATTAGTCCAGCGTCGCTAACGAGAGGCTAGCGTGTGAGATGGTATTTCTTCTAGCCAAGTCTTCTAACGCCCATAGGCAATTCCTTGTGCTGGTGTCTCGATCGGATTTTACCATGGCTAATAGAGAACGTTGATTGCTATTGCGACGAAGAAGTTAATATTTATACTCTTTGAATATAATTCTCTCTCTTTCTCTTCTTTAGCTACTTTATTCTTTTGTTTGTTTGTTCATTCATTCCTACCATCTAATCTTACCACGTTTATCTGCTACCGCAAAACTTTCCAGATTTAATTATTACTTTCGCAACGTTTCGATTCGAAGAGAAGCCTTTGTGTCACTGAGATCTATGAAGCACGCGCATTGTCTCTCTCTCCTTTTCTTTCTTTTTTGTTTTTTTTTTTTTCCTTTCGCTCGATAGCACGGCATTTTATCTACCAGGAAAGGACGAGAATCGCTATAATTTACATCTTTGTACGTATTCAAATGTACCGCGTGGGTAGAGAGAGAGAGGACAGAGAGAGAGAGAGAGAGAAAGAAAAAAAAGAATGAAAGAATGAAAGAATGAAAGAATGGTTGAGAAGAGAAAGAGAAAAGATGCAGGTAGATTCAGTAGAATATACGACGTTCTCGGTTTTTTTGTTGCGGCTTGCAGGTTGATACCCAGGACCAAACTATTCGAAGGTGGCAGTGGCCCGACGACGGTAGTCTCGTTCTTTTCATACTTTTGCGGGAATACGGGAGAAGTGAAAGAATGGCAAAGACCGGAAGAGGAAAAAGGTTAGTTGGGCTTTTTTCGATAGAGCGTGGGTGCCACACGAGCACGTTTCTCGTTTTGCAAGATGTTTGCTACGGTGGCACGCGTGTGTATATACGCGCCGCACGCCACAGAACTCCACGAACAACGCCTCCACAATTTTCTCCTATCTTTTCTAAGAGACGTTAGACAGAGTACTAGAAAGAGAGAACTCTTTCTTACATATGGCAAAAGGGAATATTATAGCGTTGATTTTCGCGTAGGTTGGCCCCACGTTTTGTGGTGTGTGACACGAGGCGCCACCACGGCGGGACGTCGCACGTTACGCCGATCTCCAGAGCTTAACATTTAATCTTACATGTCGCAGACTATTTATTTTTTTCTGTTTTTTTCTTCCTCTCTTACTCTCTCGTCACGGTGATCGAGATTGACCAATTCTCGTGAACGTCAACTAGGAGAACAGAACCCAAGCGCACTGAACTCTTTCTCTTTCTCTCTCTCTCTCTCTCTCTCTCTCTCTCTCTCTCGTTTCCGGAATAACGAATATTTTTCATCGAAAAATTCTTACAATCCTCCACCGACAACGTTCACCTTTTCTTTACGACTCAACTCACGTGACCAAATTTATCGTTCGAACTTTTGAAGGTAAATAATATATATCGAAGACGCAATAACGGATATTTATCTATCCGTCTCTTTACGATATTCAGTTTCTACGAGTAGGTATACATATACCTGCCATGCCTGCCATGTATGTAAATTTCTACGCATGAATCTAGCGAACCTATTGAGCTCGTAACGTTTTCCTAACGTTAGAATCCAACCTAACTCGTCTCGTCTCGTTTCATTTCGTTTCGGATTGATCAACAAAATAACAACAACAACGATGGAAGAGCAATGAGAAGCCTAACGAACCACGGCGACAAAACATTCGCAATAAGAAATATCCAAGTTCGGCATGTCGATATAAATAGCATGAAGGAGGAGTACCGTTGCGATCGGGCCAGGTTGAGGGTCGGGCAGAGGGTGACGTGATCGTGATCGATGTAGATCGTTCTCTCTCGATCTATCCGCAGTAATCCGTGGTCAAGCTCACCGTCGTGTCCTCCATCGATACCGTTCCTATAAACATACACGCACACTTACTTGCCAATACTATAAGTTTATGTGGATGTAACACCGAGCTAGTTCGGTGAGATCTGTTTCCGGGTCACGCCACGGCAGGTTGTGTCCGAAGGTATCCATGAACCATTGTCGCTCGTGTCCGATATCTCGATTCTCTCGTATCGATTAGCATTGATTTGTGGATCATCGTGATTAGCCCGCGGGATGAACCAGCAGCGATAGCGATGCACACGTTCGATCCTTTCTCGATCGTTGTTGCACCTGAAACTGATAGAAGCGATCGATTATAGATAGTAACAAATCTTTTGCATAACCGAGAAATACTAGTTGTCTTTCGAACAATGTACAATGCCGAGAGATCTCTTCCAAAGGTATTCTTAATTGTATCGAGAACGATATCTCTCAGAACTCTGAGAAAGAGACACCTGCAACGAATGAAAACGAATGAGAACAACGAATGCAGCTGATACACGAAGTCTTCCAAATTACGCAATGCGACTCATGCTTAACCGCGAGTGTGGGACTCGACGTGTTCTCCGAGCAGCGAACGTGGAGACCCTTAGATTCAAATCATTCTTTTATTTTCTCTATCTCAACGTGTAAAATCGTATAAACTGCGAAGATAGAATCTGCATCGACCACGCCTCGAAAGACGATCGAACCTCCTCTACCGTATACGTCGAAATCATTTTTGACGTATTCCAAGTGTATTAGCATATAGGGTGCGTCCTGTGTAAGCTTTATCGAGACTCGAGAGATTTAAGTTTACTTTACGTAAGAGTACAACGCATATAACGGAAGCCATCACTCGACACTGACGTTAGACAATAGCCACTGTGTGGCAGGATGATTCCTTACCGACTACCTCCTTGCTTCTACTATATTCCTATTGAATTTCCATACGCACAAATTCTCTTCCACAAGAGCTTCTTCCACTAAAGGAAGAGACGCCTCAAACCGGTAAAGCACTTTAGCTAAAGGCTACGTAAAGAGTAAGATTTCTTTTCAAAAAATATTAATATTGCAAGTATCATCATTTTAACGAAGTTCTATCATTTTTTGTAACATAGCTAAGAAAATAATAATATAACATATTTTACTTATTAAGAAAAATATGATAAAATACTTAGAGGGTAGCAAAGTTGCTACCCTCTCTCGATGATTCTCAGGAAGATACGAACTGATGATTTAAATTTCTTTCCCGCCAGAGATACTATCATCAATCCTCGATAACTTTTATAGGATTTCTACAATACCAACATATCGATAAGATAAATTACTGAGGTACCAACTGTTAAAAAGTGTTTTCCTAAATATCTCTACGTTAGCATCTACGGTGGAGACCTTACCACATTACGATGCAAAAATAACTTTCAAGAAAGACCCATGTGAACTTCACAGAGGGATCTTTATAAAGTTTAGAAAGGGACCGACCCCTTGAGACGAGCAAGTTTCTCGTCTGGAAACACAAAGAAAGTAGTGTCACGGATCGACAATTCAAACGAGTTGTAACAAAACCGTGAGAATGTCTTTGCCGTGAAGCATATTCCTAGTGATTTTCTAAACTAATAAAGTTTTAAACAAAATTAAAGTATTTTTAAATAAATCTAATACAAATATCGAGAAAAAATAAAACATAAAAAAGAACAGAATTATTTTAAATCGATCAGAATACTTGTAATGTACAAGGTGCCATATTCGTGAAGGAACACTACTGGAGACAGCTGATCCTGTGCAAGGCAAGAAAAATCAGATGCATCAGAGTGTCTTTTGTCATTGTTGTAAAAAAATGAACGTTCGTAACCAAGTAGATTTCATTTGAAAGAATTAATGAGTTTAAATTTCATAAACCACTATCTTTTGTTTCTCGACGGTTTTCCTGTACTGAATAAATATACACTTGTCGCATAATTCTACGTTATCAACCGAGTTCGCGTGGGAGATGCGCATGGTAAGGTTAGTCGGTGAGAATCACTTGTTCGAAAAATAAAAAGCAAAAGATTTCTTCCTACTGTATGCCTTCTTCTTCTTTTTCTTCTTCTCAAGAGATTTTCAAGGATAACCGGTATCGTATTCTGTAACGGATGATGTAAGCCCGCACCTTTTGTCTTTCTTCTCTAGCCATTAGAAATCTCAACGCGTCTTCTGCTTCTTCAACGTTTATTCGTTGTTATTGTCAGTTGTCGTACTGTGTCGTGTCGTGTGGTGTCGGGTAGTGTCGTGTATTGTCGTGCATGCGGCGTAAATGTGAACGCGCGCACGTGCGTTTACGTATGTATTAAACATACACGTGTACGTATATGTTATAAGTGTGTATGTAGTGACTGAATGGTGTGGGTGAACTCGCCGGACACCCACTTACACAGGTGGCTTCCTTTTTCATTCACACCGCGCGGCTTCGTGCAAAGACGGTAGTGTAGAAAAGTCCTCTTGAGAAGGATTTCTTTCTTACTTAAACAGCAGTAGTAGGTGGGTAGGTGCCACACGATGACGCCAACGACGTATATAATATTTTCATCCTATCAAAATTTAATCATTTTTTTATTCCTCGTTGCTTTAACAAATGCCAATTATACTGATATTAATTTACCGGCGAGTCATATGAAGTATTACTTTCATTCTTTTCCCACGGTGGCCGAAAAATGCCGAAACGATACGTCCTGTCCGTATAAGGTAAGCATTTATTTTTTCTTATTTTATTTTCAATCTATTATTTTATCTTAAGCACCTTTTATTTCATCGATATATATTTTAAACTTTGAATATTCGCGACATTTAGCGCGCATGTACATTTGATGTATTTACAAAAATAAGAGGTATATTTAAAAATTTTTTTTTTAACACAGGACAGTTTGAATACCAAAGCATGTTGGGGCTACGAGACAGAATGTAAAGAAGAAAATTCATTTTCCGTACCCTACTGTCCTGGTGATCACAAAGGATGGGTCGCAACGAAAAGAGCACAATTAGACACGTTTTATGCGCAAGGTGATTTTGGCTACGTACGAGATCAAAGAATAGAAATGATGATGCTGTGTGAGCCACTTTTTGCCGTAAGTATTTCATTTATAAAAAAAAAAAATTTACGACAAAAAGTCTAATTATAAAATTTGTCAAAGGACGACTCATCATTGGAATGCTCTCAACATATGAGATTTTGTAGAGCTAGGAACGTTCTATTAAATTTCACGGATCTTTTGTATAGAAAGGAACCCATAAGATACAAAATGGATGTTTTGAAAGAAGGACAAATCGGTGGTTATTGCACGTAAGGAAAATGTTAAGCGTTTCTAAAATCAAAATTCATTTGATTTAACGAAGCATTTAACAGGAACGCCAAAACATCGTTCTGTCAAATTTAGGCTGAACGAAAAGAAGCTTCAAGACAACGCAGATCACATCAGCCCACTACAATCCTGGGGACCAGAGTTACGAAACTTTCGTAGATTTCATCGACGTCCGATCGTAGAAGGCGATTGTGATATCGTTATAGAAAAACCTACGTACATAATGAAAATAGATGCCAGTAAGTAAATCAATTTATTATTCGAATTGTTATCTTTTAATTATATTAGATTCCTTGTTTTTTTATTTTTTGTTTCATTTTTATTATTTGTCTTCTTTTTAACATTTTACGAAAAACAAATTGTTTTAGTAGTTAACATGTATCATCATTTTTGCGACTTCTTCAATCTGTATGCGTCGTTGCACGTAAATCTTTCGCATCCGAGCGCCTTCAGTACGGACAATCATATAATGATTTGGGAAAGTTACAGGTAATTGACATCGGTATAAAACAAAAAACAAGAGGAGTTCGTAGAATACACGTATATACATAATTATCTCTTTTTACTTTCAGTTATCGATCGGCATTTCAAGATACGTTCGAAGCTTTCACAAGCAATCCACTGTGGGATCTAAAAACATTTCGCGGTGAAAAAGTTTGCTTCCGGAATCTTGTATTTCCGTTATTACCACGAATGATCTTTGGACTTTATTATAACACACCTATCGTACGCTTGTACTACAACTTTCCTATTCAAAGATTAAAATTAATATCAAATACTCTATATATTTAATGACCAAGTACATTTCTCATATTATTATTTTTTCTTTTTCAGATTTATGGATGTGAGAAGAGTGGTTTGTTTAAAGCTTTTGGAGATCACGTATTGCATAGACTGAAGATACCTCTACTTGGAAGAAAAAATGATAAGATACGCGTAACTTTACTAAGCAGAGATACTCAGTACAGAAAAATATTAAATGAAGATGAATTAGTGAAAGCTTTGAAAGAAAATGAAGAATATGAAGTTAGAAAGGTATATCAAATTTATAATAACCTGTATACAAAATTCAAAATCTACATACGTCTAAAATATGAAATTATTATTATTAGGTAATTTATAACAAGAATGTAACTTTTAAAAAACAACTTCAAATCACAAGAAATACCGATATATTCATCGGAATACATGGAGCGGGATTGACGCATCTCTTGTTTTTACCTGATTGGGCCGCTGTTTTTGAAATGTACAAACAATATCCTCTTGATAAATCAAAACAATATTTGATAATTATTAATGTATCATTTTTTAATTATATTTTTTCTTTTGTAGATATAATTGCGAGGATCCTAGTTGTTATAAAGATCTTGCAAGATTACGAGGTGTTAAATATTATACGTGGGAAGACAATTCTAAATTAATTCAACAAGACCCTGTAAGCGAATAGAATCTCTTTTATTTGTTAACTCTCTATAATCCAGATTTGTTCCATTTGGAATCAACAAATATTAATCTCTAAATACAAATTAATAATGAATTTTAATAATGATATTAAAATAGAGATTATATTGGGATAAAAAAATTAAATGAAAGAAAAAATATGAATACACTGATATGTGATTTCAAAGTTACACGGGACTATAGAGAGTTAATTAATATAAAAAATCTAATGACAATTAAATTAAAATTTTGTTTCTTATAGGGTACACATCCCGACGGTGGTGCTCATGCTAAATTTACGAATTATAATTTTGAAGTTAAGGAATTTCTACGTATTGTTTCCTTAGCTAGTACTCATGTGAAACACCATAAAGCTTTTAAAGATTTTTTAAGTAAACATATGACTAAAGAGGATAACATAGATAGTAAAACGAAGAATATAAATAATAACTTGAACAAAACGTCTAATAAAAAAAAAGTGTCCAAACCACAACGTCAAAGTAATATTCAATTAAAGGATGAATTATGACGAATTTAGGATAATAAATTTTAACAAAGAAAAATGCTACACAACGGGTTTATCGTGTCAAATACTGTTGCAATTATAATTACACAAAGAACAAATACTTTGTTACCAGTTAAACTATTTTTCTTATTTTTATACCGATGTACATACATATTTGTTTTGATAAAAAAAAATAAATATGAGATGTTTCTCGATATGTCTGTGCATTGCACGTGGCAGTGATTATTTTCTATAACTAATTTATTAATTAATATTGAATCATTAATTGTAAGTAACTATATGTTACGTAGGGTTAACTTTCTACTATTAGATTATAGAAGACATTATGCTCATCAACGAGCATCGATGGTATTAATACGTGACATACATCCTTTGTTCCATTGTACATTTAATGCATGTCATACACAAATTTCATTTCATTATGTTGTATACTTATTTTACAATTTGACTTGAATTTGGCATCTGTATAATATTAAAATGAAAAGTATGTTTACAGCCATGTATAAAATTATTATTTGAAGAGATGTATTTTTACCAACATATAACGTTGATATAAGTAAATTAATAACACCTGTTAACAAATTGCATGATAAAAAAAAAATAAGTCCATTATAATTCACAGCCTCAAATATTTCTAAAGTCCTTTTAATTGGACTTTCAACGGGTAACTCTTGCAAAATCTCTTGTTTTGCATCCTGCTTATTTTCTCGTTTAGTTTTAAAACCAGCTTTGTGTTTTCTATGTTTTACTTCGCCCATTTTTTCTGTTATCTTGTCATTTGTATTGTCTATAATTTTATAATCTGATGTTGCATAAATTAATATATCTGTTACTACTTCAATAAGTAATAAAAGCGTAAGCATCATAGTAGATAATGTAAGTATCCATGCGCAATAACCTGCATTGGCTAATCTTCTCGATACCCTGAAGTATTTATCGCAAAACAATGTTGCAGCACAAGCTTGGGCTGCTATCAATGATAATTTAACACATAGTATCATCGATTCATTGTAACTTGCATCTAAATCGTATCCAAATATCTTAATATGAACATTTTTTCTGGGATTTAAAGTAGTACTCGAGTTTAAATTTAAATAAGTAGAATGTATTAATCTTCCAACTGCAACTCCAATAAGATATAATCCTACATAGCCTGGTATAGACATGAGACCCTCCCTATTAGCTGTGATAAAATCAATTCTTGGTTCATTACTTAAAATCCATTCTTTCAAACCATTATTAGTTAAGATATACTCGTGCATAGCCAAAATCCATATACCAGAAAGTAAAGAATACCTTGAACTTATTGTGCTCGTTATTGTTCTAGTAAATAATTTGACAAATGCTAAAGTTATGAAAAAATTCCAATGAACTCCATACTCAGTAATATGTCTTTGATAACCTAAGAATTCAATAGCTACAAATCGTCCTAATCCTAACAACAATAATGGTAAAGAACTCTTTAAAGGATTTTTAAGATTCCTTGATAGTGTACCAAAGAAACCTACTTTTGGTGGACTACCGAAATCACGAGCTTCTGGTGCAACCAATGCATTTGCTAATATAAATATACCAACACCGGTATCCATTAAACTATAACCAAATACTTCTGTTTTGGCAAACTTTCGTGGAAATATACGAAAGTCAACAGCTAATATACATATCGTTGTAATAATATTTGAAAGAGCTCGGAAATTTGTTACAAATGGTCTTTTACCTTTTATCGGCCTTAATATGCAATTTGTCAATGCATGTACTTTAATTCTCATTAACATAATATTTATAAAAGAAAGAATGATCATTATCACGCATATATTACTGACATATTCTGATAATACTGTACAACAAAAAACACATGGTATGACAGTTAAAACAAATTCTATGACAATTTTAACATTTCTATGCAAGTATTTACCATAAAGGCCTAAAGTAGTTATTGTTAACAGAACACCGCATACGTTTGGTAAAATAACGTGAACAACCTCTTGTGACGTTGTCCCTCCATGATTTGAAACAAACGCTTCTTGTTCCAACCGGTAGCGCTCCTTATCTCGCAAAGATTCCATGTTTATAAAATCATTGATTTCTTTGTACCCAAATTTCTAAACAAGTTCACCATATATAAAAAGATTATATTAATGATTATTTTATAAATTAGAACTTACAATTTAGGATAAAACTGTTTTATTCTCTTGAACAGCATGACAGAAGAAAATTCCGAAAAATAGATACAATAATTCGATGATAGGAAACATAAATACACACATATTTCCATTACCTAACGCATGGTGGCGGTAGTGACATTAATAGTGTAGAGGGTTTCTCTATAGTAAAGATAATATTAGACTGAATTTTTATTTTATGATTTTTATTGTTAGGATGCGACTTGCTTTTCTTTCTTGTACACTTCTCAACGGCTACGCACAGACTGTACTCGTCTGGTGACCACACTTGCTAGCGTGGTTCCCTAGCCTTCTAGTAACTTAGATGGCGCGACCATCGGTCGTACCGCTACAATAGAATAATAAACACGGAATAAATGTGATAAAGTGGTATGGCAGAATTCTAATATGTAATAAATGTTTACATACGTACATATATATATATATCATACATCTTATGATATGAATTTATAAAATGTTAAATAATATTAATTATAATATGTAGTGTTTAAATAATAAGTATTATTTCTAATTATAATTTGATTTAATAAAAAAAGATATTCATAAGATATTATTAATGAAATTTCATGTGTAAACTAAAAGAGAAGAATTATTCCTTTGAAAAAACTCAAGATACATTATTTTTATATAAGTGGAATATTAATTAAATGATTAATCATTATGTTGAAACAAAATTATACATCTTGGAACAAATCACAAAATTCTAGACAAGATGAGATGATTTTTCCAAATCATGTTTCTCTAGCTGAGAAAATGAAACCTAAAAACTTTACTTCTTATATAGGTCAAAAACATGTGATTGGATCTAATACAATATTACATAATTTTTTGAAAATAGGAGAAATTCCTAGTATGATACTGTGGGGACCACCTGGTTGTGGTAAGGTACTTTGACAATCTCTGAAATATCCAATTTAAAAATAACACCTGTTTTAATTTCTGCTTTAAATAAACTTAATATAATATATTTTTCAGAAATCTTTAATCAATGTTATAATACAATTAACCAAAGAAAAATTCAAAGATAAAATACACATTGTAAAATTAGTTGCAACAGCTTGCGGTGTTGGGGATATTAAAAAAGCCGTAGAAACAGCAAAAAATGTACTTAAATCTGATCATAGAACAATTGTCGTTATGGATGAAATTCATCGTTTCAATAAACTTCAACAAGATATATTCTTACCACACGTCGAAGCTGGAACATTTATTCTTATTGGATCGACAATAGAAAATCCTTCTTACAGTTTAAATCCAGCATTGCTAAGTCGATGTCGTATATTTTCATTAGATAAATTATCAGTAGAAGACATCATTGAAATACTTACAAAAAGCATACATTGTATAGGTGGTAGAATTCAAAATTCATTAAATTGTAATGATGTTTCAAAGTTTATGATTCATAATGACACATTGAAGTGGTTAGCTGAAGTATGTGATGGTGATGCACGCACTGCATTAAGTGGTTTAGAATTAGCAATTCGTAGCAAAAATGTATTACATAATAAAAAATTTGTTATAAATATTGAAGATATCAAAGACGGTTTAATACATATGAGCACGATTGCTGATAATAAAAGTGAACAAACGCATCATTTGTATTCTGCTTTGCACAAATCAATTTTTGCGGGTAAACCAAATGCTGCTTTATATTGGTTAGCTAGGATAATGGCTGCTAAAGAAGATCCTGTAGATATTGCTAGACGCTTAATTAGAATATCGGGTGAAGATATTGGTTTTGCAGATCCAGATGCTATTGGTAATATTTCAATAAACTTTAATATACAATAGTACCTTCATTTACACAGATAATTGGCTCCATGAAAACAGTGCATTAATGAAACTGTAAAAAGTAATTTAAAACAGTATTTATGTTTTCATATACATCATTGAGACAACTAAGCTCTGAGAACTCAAACGTATTAAAGAGAAACTACAAATGAAGGGATTATTGTACTTTTTATTACAATATAGGAGTATATTATAATATATTATAAAAATAATTCTTCATTAGGTTTAGCAGTTCATACATTAAATGCCTGTCAAATGATTGGTATGCCTGAAAGTGACGTTCTATTAGGACAATGTGTAGTTTATTTAACTAGAGCACCCAAATCTCGTCTGATTTATAATGCTTTTAAGGCAGCTCAACAATTTATAAACAATAGTAAAGAACCACAGCCAGATGTTCGGCAACACATTCAATGTATATCAGAAGAAGAAAAGCTTGAATTTAGCATTGGTAAAATCTTCTTGCATTATAATCTTTCTTTTGTTTATTTCATGCTTACAATGGTAATAATATTATCATGTTTCAATTATATTTTTTTTATAGAATCAAATAAATATAATTTATCAAGGAATTTAAATACTAAGAAAAATCATTTACCAAAGAGTCTACAACACGTTAACTTCTTTCATGAAGATTTGCGATAATCATTTTATATGCTATGCCAACTTTTTTATACTCTATTAGAAAAAAATAAATATTATTTTTTATATTTCTAATACACGCTTGTCTTTATTATCTTCTCATAAACATGTAATGTCTTTTAAAGAATTTTTATCCTACATTCAAGTTTCATTTGTAATAAACACAAAATATAAAATATCATTTTAGAAATTTCTATCAAAAAATATAATAATTTTATTTGTATTTTTGAATAGTTGTAATAATTGAATAAGTTGAATGATCTCACCAGTATTGAAAAATTTGACATTTGTTGTAAGAATTTCTATTAATCATGGCGTCATCGGTCACCGGTGGCCCCCACGGCCCTGCAATAAATTCAGTACCGGCCATCTGTGATTTTTATGACACTTAACGTGTCAAATAAATAAATATATTGTACTCTTTATGTGCATAACACATTGCAATGTTGCAAAAATTTGTTTTCTTAAATTTGTGCTCCAAACAGTTTTCAATCTTCATCTATGAGTTTGTTCGTATTTTATTTATTTCTGGTTTGTAAGTTGTCGAGAATTGACTTGCCAAATCTAATGTAAGAATTGAACAGAGATAAATACTGGCATTGTTTATTCCACAATTAAATTTTGTTAACCTTTGTAAACTTATTTTAAAATGTTGCCTTCGGATTATGAAGAATTAAAGGTAATTACAAATTTGTTAATAATAAATAGTATTAAAATATTTTTTGGTTAAAAACTAACCTCTAATATTTGTATCTTTAAGCGTATTGATACTATTTTACTTTGTGGGATATGTTACGAATACATGGACACAACTGTCATCACACCATGTTCACATAATTGTAAGTAACAATATAAAATATTATCCATTATGATATTAATTAATTATTTTTTATATTCAGATTGTTCACTTTGTATACGAAAATATTTACATTACAAGACGCAATGTCCAACTTGTTTCGAGGAGGTTTTTGAAAAGGATTTGAGAGTGAACAAAGCATTGGATGAAATTAAACAATATTTCTTAGTATTAAAAGATAAATTAAGTAAATGTGTTCAAAGTATACAAAATGATAAATTAAGTACTAGTCATTGTAATTCGCCTAAGATTACGCATCATAAGGAAAATTTAGTTATCGCTAAACAACCAAATGTTGGTTTTGATAATATTGTCAACGATGAACCACCACAATGTATCACAACAAATGTGGATAAAATTGTGCATACATCACAAGATGCAGGAACTGCTTTACTCAGTCCAAGTACCAGTAAGGCATCTAAAGTATTATCTTTCTTTACACCCAAAAGTAAGAAAGTTATATCTCAAGATGTTATTAGCGATGAAGTGGTAATATGTCCAGTTTGCAAGGTTAACGTTCCAGAAAAAAATATTAACAGACATCTAGATGATTGTTTGAAGAGAGAAGTAACAAAAACTAAGCCAGTCAAGTAAATAAATATTACATTATTTATTAATTTTTTATAATCATTTTATAAATTGTGTGTTTATAATTGTTACAGAATTAAACCTAAACGTAAACCGTTACCAAAATTGGTACTCAGTTTAATGAAGGAGTCAGAAATTAAAAAGAAATTAAGAGAATTAGGTCTTTCACATGTTGGCGATAGAAAAGCCTTGGTGATGAGACTTCAGAGGTATACGACTCTCTACAATGCAGAATGTGATAAAGAAAATCCTAGATCAGTTTCTGAATTACTTAAATTATGTGATGAGGAAGAAAATTTAGAGAGGAAATCTAACAAATTAACATTTGTTGTAATATTCTTTTTTTCTTTTCAAATTTTAATTTGTTAATTGATTTAATTTTGTATTTTAAAATACAAATGTATTTAATTTTCAGAAATTGCAAGTCAATAGAAACACAGCTGATAATGTTATTGAAGAGGAAAGGAAAAAGTATTGTAAGCTTTTTAGTTTGAATTTGTTTTTTTTTTACAAATTTCAATTTAAATGAAAATATGCATATATATATAACATAATTTCTAATGTTTATTTAATTTGTAGTAGAGATACATAAAAGTAGTTTTGAGAGTTTGATTTCAAAGATCAAACGTACGGAAAATCCTCAGAAACCATCAGCAAGGCGTTCGATATTAAATGAAAATATTGCTATGGAAACAAGTTCCGTTTATTCAACAAATTCTTCAAATTTGGATTTGCAGGGTTCAGATTCAGATGTTGAGTGTCCATTGCAAATGTATTCTAGTGAAAATCCAATGAATTTTCTTAACGTAGAATTATTATCTTCTAATGAAGGAAGTGAAGATATTAACAATGTAATTAGCAAAGAAGAAAAAGAAGAAGAAAAAGTAAAAGAAGAAGAAGAAGAAGAAGAAGAAGAAGAAGAAGAAAAATTAGTACTAGCTAATACGAGTGCAGGTTTTTTTTATTCACAAATTGAAAAGACAAATAGCAATAATAATTCTCCTATTTTAGTAAATAAACATCCAATAGTATCTCACGAAGTTCCATGCTCGAGTAATACCTTTGCAAATGTGAAGAAAACGTGTATAGAAAAAAATCAAACGGAAATAAAGAAATTAACGACGATAGAAACAGAACAAGAGAATAAAGATAATTTGAATGAAATGCAATTGGAAGATTACATCTCTGATTTTTCTAGCAACGACAGTATTATTTCTAATTCAGAATTTGGTACGTAATTTGATACATTTACAATTTTATCGATCACAATGCATATTACACATAATTGATATATTATACGAGTGAATATCTATATTGCAGAGACGTTAGAAAAACAAATTTATGACATAATTAAAGGTGTAAATGTTGAAGAAAGTATTATTACAAAAACTAAATCGGGAAAAGAAAATATTAAAAGGTACAAAAAAAGAAAATACGATAACGTAATTAGCGAAGAAGCGAATCATGTCTCAACAAAGAGGAATAAACTTAAAATACAAACGAACTATCTTAGTGAACTAAATGTACAAACATTTAATGGAGAACATTTCGAAGAAGGTAACGATGTTATAGAAAATAAAAGAACGAGGTTACGAAAAGGAAGGGAAGAGCAATTAGCATCTATGGCATGTACGCCACAAAGAAAATCTAGAAGATTATTAATTAACAAGAATCATTCTATAAATAATAATACGACAGAACGATGATGTTGTGAAAACATTAGTCAAATATATTACGGCTGTAATCGACAAATTGTAGAAAAAAAGAATAACATTTACTAATCTTCTTTAATATTTATGCACAAATACATATATATTTATATATTATTTAAAGGATAACATTATTATTGTGTAAAAATTATAATAAATATTTATATTATAATGTTAATGCTCTAATCGAAGAAACAAATATCAAAATCATTATCAAAGACAATGTAGTTTATTGAATATATTACATCATTCCAATCAGTAAGTGATTCAACAATAATAATAATAATAATAATAATTAATAATAATAATAATATTATATGAGAGCGAATGCATAAGTTTTCATACACTATATATTTTACAATATTCGTAAATACGTATTAACAATAATTTAAGGAGAGTGTGGACTTATATAACGTTAAAATAGTTGTCTTTGATGTTTCCTAAATACACTTTGGTATCATTTACACCACATTCGCTTGCATTATTTATTTATTTTTTTATTTTTTATTTTTTATTTTTATCGTATAATATTTACAGTATCATCGACTTTATTTTATAAACTTTATATACGCTTTAGTATTTTACTTGGAAACAACTATCACATTCATAAAATAACGATCTTTATTTTATTATTTTTTTTTTATTTTCTTTTTTGTTTGTTTTATTAAATCTTTCAATAATTTTATTGCACCGCTGTCAAGACGATTAGTTTTTAATTTTAATTTCTGTTCTCGTTAAGAGTGAATACGAATGCAGTACTGAAACTGGAACAGGGTTATTCTGTTTAAGATTGGAATTAATCTAAGTGACTTTTCTAAAAAAAAAAAAAAAAATACATTAAAAAATCGGGGGAAACAATTAACATTCATATACTATGTATTTTTTTTATTTATTTGTTTGTTTAAACTTTGTTTTATCCTACATGGTATGGCATCACGCGAGGTAGTTACTCGATCGTTGATACACTCTCGAAAAAAATACTCTACAAGCGGACTGTTTTTTCACTCTTTTCTTTTGCCAGTCGATATATTTTGTGTATACTAATAGTTAACGTAGAATTTGTGTTTTTTTTTTCATTTTATTAATTTTTTATTTAATTAAATAAATATAAATAAAGATAGTATTGTATTCGTAGGTCAGTTGAACGAAGTTCAAGAAGAAAAGATTTTCTTGTTCCGTAATGAAATCACAAATTTGTCTTTTCCGAATACGCTGCACGAAATCTTTTATATTTAATTATAAATATTATAATAATTATAAATATATATACATAAATATATATTTTTAATTATTATTGCCTGTCACAGTATAATCGTGAGATAATTCGTTTTCAAAACAATGTACCTCTTGTAAGTGAAAGATGAAATTTACGAGAATTTGTTTCTATTCGCTACTAGTTATGTGTGTGTGTGTGTGTGTGTGTGTTTGTATTATAAGTATTTTTTTATTTATTTTTTATATTTTTTTCTAAAGCTGTAATTCGTGTTTATCTTTAAAATTTTTCTACATACACAATGCGTGCACCCATACGCGTGTGTATTTTTATGCGATTTGTTTCTTATGAGATATGTTTTATCAGGCATGTTTATAAGAAGCTAGTAGTTAACGTTTGTTTAATTTTCATTTCACATTTTTTTAAAATTTAATCTAATTATTATTAATTAATACATATTTTTTTATTTATTTTTCTTTTTTTTTTTATTTCATTTTCTATTTTATTAATTTTTTGCTTAGATCCCAAGAGACACATTTGTTTAAATTGAATTTTTTTTTTCTTTCTAAATCGTATTGAAGATTTCTAACAATAAGACAGACATTTTGATTATGATCAATTTGATTATGAAGTTTTTAAATCTTACTGTTCCTGCGTCAACGATTTATTATTTTAATATATATATACACACACATGTACATATAAACGTGTATTGTATTATTACATAAATACTAACTTCAGGAATAATAAGTACAAGAATATACAACAATTATTTGGAATTTTTTCATTCGTCGAATTTTTCAAGAGATTAAAAAAGGCAATTGTTCGACGCTGAACGGGATGTTCTTTCAAATTGATATATTTAAAATAATATATGTATATATATATTAATCGCAGTGAACATTGAAAATAATATTTATATTAATATAATAATTAACCCTTTCATTACTGCATACCCATTCGCTGGTACATAAATATCATCGGATGGTACGATCCCTATAAAGGTCAGTCGGTTATTCATATGGGATCTTTGGATGGGTTGCTAGTAAAAAATGGGTTAACAGAGATTCGAGCTAATAAATAATCGCATTATTTAATTTTCATTATTTTTTTTTTTCGTTAGACAATTCATAATTGTTCATAAATACAGTGGACATTTTGATTTTTTTGTGTTATTTTTTTTTTTTTATAATAAAAATTCGATAAGTAATTGTAGCCGAAAAATACTTTTCTAATCTTTCTCTCTCTTTTTCTTCTTTCCTCATCTATTTTCTTTTAATTGGGATAAATCATCTATTTAATTCCTTTTTTTCTTGTATATATATTCATTCACGCTCTTAATTATTTGTATAGGAAACGCAGTCTTTTTTTATTGATCACGAGGTTTACGATCTACAAAGGATGTTCGATCGTTAACATATCCTATACGTCAGATTCGTTTCTGTATCTTAAGATTTACAAGAATCATGTCATCGTTTATCTTCCGATGAGCCTTTTTAAAATATTTTTTTTCCACAATTATCGATTTACTGTCACGTCGCGTTATTTTCTTGCTTGTTTCTTCTCATCACAGTGATACCTATAGAACCACGTATCTTACGTAACAAGTCTATTATTTCAGCCGTCGTCATATTCTCAACACTTTCATCGTTGACCTGAAAAAAAAAAAAAAAAAAAAAAACAGGAATTGTGTTATAAATTGAATAACCGTTTGGAGTATTTGAAATTTTCTATTGATAAATACAAACCATTAACAATACATCTCCTTGTTTCAGTCTTCCATCTCTAGCTGCAACACTGTCTGGATGTACGACAGATATAACAGTGTGATTGTCTTCAGATTTTAAACTGAAACCTAATCTACTGTTCCATCCACGTGTCAACTCTACCATGAACACCTAATTGATTTTCATCGAAAGAGTTAGAAATTTCATATTAATTATTAGAAAAATAGATAAACAGATGTCAACATAACTTACTTCGTTTCCCTGTTCATCCTGACTTTCAGAAGATACAGCCGAGTCCAAATTGTCCTTGTTATCGTCGTCAACTTTTTTCTCATCTTTTTCGTTTTCGTTCATATCGTCGTTTGGTGCAAACATAACACCTTTCCACTTTAAAAGACCCTTGCTACCAGCAGGATCTTCTGTTCCGAGAATCTTACCTAAGAACGCAGAGGATTCGATTGAAAACGATAAGTGTTTGAGTTTAACAGAAGCGATTCGCTACTGTGCGCGCGCGTTACGTTGCTTAGCACGCCCACTGATAATCTTCTTATCGCTTTGTTAGTCTTTATCAACGTTACGCGATTTCAAATCGAGTAGTGGGGATGTAAAAGTAATCTAAGTAAATACTAACCTGGTATATCTTGATCGCTCGAATGCGTAACTTTGCTTTTCGATGCGGTGTCAATAGTAACGCCGCATGCCGGATTGGCACTTTGATAGGCAGGATTTTTGTAACTGAAGGCAGCTGTACTGGTACTGCTGGTTGATGATAGTACCGGTGGCATCGATGCTGGTTCCGAAGGTAAATCGGTGTCCTGTTCGTCGCTGGACAATCCACGGATTTCTTTACCACGATAATCATTTTCGAATGAACTGGAATCCTTCTCGGAGAACAGCATCGTTTCTACTGGATACTCGTCGGAGTCACCGCTGCAAAATTGAAAATGTGGTTTCCCTTGTGGCGCGGATAGATCTAAGAAACTTGGCCGTGTTGGAGTCCTCAAGGGTGACTCGTTTGATTCGCATACGTGGTACTGCGATGGTGGATCTATGATTATGTCCGTATTGGAGATCGGTGTATTCGCTTGAGAGTTTGTTATTTGAGTTCTGATCGAGCATTGATCGGAATCCGAAGTTTCAGCCTGGCTACCTATCGATGTTGTTTGTCCTTCGTGAAACTTCTCCGGGATCTCTATGAAAAAGATAGTTCAATGGTTTTAAGAGATGTTCAATTGGAATAGAAGATTTGTCAAGGGTTTGTTTCGATACCTTGATCGTTATCGGCAGTGGGAGTACGCGTTGCGAGTCTTCGATGTCTTCTCGGTGAATTACAGGATGCCCCAGGTGATTGCAAGCAACTAGAACCACTAGATGTACCTGGCGATAGTTTTCGGGCTGCTAAATCGCATAGCATATCCACAGCTTCTTGTCTGTTAAATGAAATCAGACACTTTTATTCATAATCTTTCCTTATTTCTGTTAAATCACGTTCAATCATCTAATTGAAAATGACTCGAACCTCAAACAGGTTCGCGGTGGACGAAGTGGATGATCTGGTTCGGTTGGCGATAGAGCGGAAACCGGTGTTTGTGCCAAATCACGATACAATCGAAGCTTCACTTTGGGTCCACATTGTCTCAAGAGGGCCACAGCTTCTTCATGGCTCATCGGTGAAAGCGGTGCACCATCAACCGCGACGATCTTGTCACCAGGACGAATTCTACCATCGCTGAGAGCTGGTTCACGGACGAGTGCTCTCACGTAATGCCCCAATGCACTACTATCAGCTTTTCTCAGGGTGAATCCTAAACTACCTCCTACTTTCAACATTTCTATGTCGAATTCCTGCGACATATACACGCGATGCATAATTAAAGTGAGTATCAATGTTTTTATTGAATTATTTACATCTTAGTTATTTGCTTGACATGAGTTTAAATTTATTAACCAGGACCGGTTAGTTTCAAACAGTTCATCAAGTTTGATTTGAATAGCTCAGTTATAATGGGAAATGTATTTCATAAGATAGGTTTCTCTATTGGAATAGGAGACCATAGATATTCATCGAAGCATCGTTTATGAATATTACTTACGCCACAGGGCTCTATTTGAAGTGGTGGCAGAGGATTGGGTATTCGTAATGGTGGCGGTGGTTCACGACGGGCTGGGGGTGGCGGGGGTGCACCAGGTGGAGAAACATTTGTGTCACCCGGAAGTCTGCACACTACCAGCTCGACCGTGTTCGGGGTCGTTCGTAAAACTTCTAGTGCTTCCTATAAAAAGTAGTGTACTTAATAAGTTTGATATTTTTTTTTTCTTTCTAAACATATAGAACATATATATTTTAGATTATACAATTATTTTTGTCAAGTTATTTACTATTTATAGACCATTTGTTATCAACAGATTTTTATTGTTACCGACTGCATGTTACCGACCGCTTATTATCAAGTTATCGACTAAGTACGATAAAAGAATGTTTATACATAATACAAGATGACATCACTTAACGCAATTTTCCGTGGCTCCAAATTCAATTGCTTTTGAAATTAATCTTCTTCTTTAAATTACGTGTCACGTTGTTTTTTCGCAATGGACTCCTAAACTACTGAACCGATTTTAATAAAATTTTCCACACTGTGTGCAGTTTCATCCAACTTGAAAGATATGATAGTTTATATCTCAATTTATAATCGCAATATTATTTTATTTGCGTTGACTTAAAGACGTGTGTATCGGACTGATTGTGAGCCACAGCAACGCGTCGCGGGGCACCCCTAGTATTATTTATAATATCAAAATAAACAATATAAATTCCATTTATACAATAAAAATATTATTATTGCAGTAATATCAAAGTTCGAAGTTATTCACATTCGCGTACGTAATTAAATATAACAAATTTACTAAATATCCAATGGAATTACAAAAAGAAATAAAGCGATCGTACAGTTGCATAGATTTAAAGTTTATAGGAATAAATGTAAGATAGAGAATTTGCATTGTTTTAATATGATATAATCGTGGTGTAGTTTTAATCGTATTTCAAAGTCATGAATTTATACTCACGTAATTCGTTAAGCCGGTTAAAGGAATTCCATTGGCTGCGAGAAGTATATCTCCGGGTTGAAGTTTGTTAGACAATGCAGCAGGTTGTAAAGGAAAGAGCCTCTTCACTCTGACGGGTCCTGCAGTACCACCACCGGAAACACTCAAGCCTAAACCACGACTGCTCTTTTGTAACGTCACTCGAAAAGTGCTCTCTGAAAAATGATTAATGAACACATACACCAATTAAAAATGATTTTCTTTTTACCAACGTTTCTTGCACTTTTTTGGGTTTGTTTTTTTTGTTTTTTTTTTAATTATTCCTTCATCTCTCGCACTCTTATCTAACTCGTTAATTTTATTTGATAATAAAAAACACATACATACACATATACACACACAAGATAAGGATAATATTTGATCGTAAATATTTACACAAAACATGTAGCAATTGTAGGAATGATCGCAGTGTAACTAATGCACCTATGACGTACGATTTAATATACGACAATGGCGCGCGAACAATTGCTTTCGTCTAGCATGTTGAAAACGTTGTCAGCGTACCGTTTGCATATTTCAAACAACGCCGCTGGCGTGGTTACGCGGCGTGTTGTCTGTCGTGAAACGCGACACGCATTCCTTTTCCTTCCTTCCTTCCTTCCATCCATCCTTCCATACTCGTTCGCACAATTTTCATCGCGTTCTTCCCTCTTGTTTTCTACCCTCTTCCTATCCCCCTTCAACTACTTTTATCTATTATTTATTTCAATCTTTTTTCACTGTTCCTCCTCCATCATCACAATTATCGTCAAGATTTATTCTTTAGTTTAAGTTTCGTACAAAATAAAAATAATAAGACACGTTTCTTTTTTTAGCGAATAACAGGACATATTTACTCTTGGATTGTTGTTTTTTTTTTTGGAGGGTGGTTGGTTGGTTGGTGGGTGAGTTGGTGTGTGTGAGGTGGATAGAAAAGCACGTACGAACCCCGCTTAATAGAAAATTCTTCACATTTTTCCAGTACTAGCTCTGGCTAGCTCTCGGTTGGTCCTCTATATGTGCAGACGGACATTACAATTTCGAGGTCAAAAAAAAAAAAACCAAAAAACAAAGAGAAAGAAGAAATAGAAAATGAGTTGAAATAAAAAGGGTCACGCGTTAGCGCGTCATTTTTCTTGAATTAATTTTAAAGAAGGGTTATAGAGAAAATTTCTGTCGACTTATTCGAATTATTTTAACAGAAGAGACCACCAAATCCTTTATACAGTTAACGATAGAAAGAGAAGAATAGTTGTCGGTCAGTCAGTGGTCTATTGAAATTCGTTATTGGCAGGAGGAGAAGAAGGAGGAGGAGGAGGAGGAGGAGGAGGAGGAGGAGGAGGAGCTAACCGAAATCCTTTTTTCTTTTCTTTTCTTTCCGTCCTTCTTTTTTTTAGATGGTTTTTTACCTATTCATTATTTTCACGAATGAACTCGAATAGCGAAACGACGATAGCGCACCATTTCGAAATGACCCACACACACCTTCGATCGGATATTGACCCGATCCGGCCGACATATCGTTCAGCATTGTTCACCTTGTTCGTCATTCAAATTCTAGCCCTCTACTATGACAAAGGGTAATTTACGTATGGCCAAGTTATTGTCTCCAGTTGAACAGTGTCAAGTCTTATCGAAAGAGAAAAAGACAGAGGAAGAAAGAAAATGAACATCATTGTCATTAATAAAATTCAAAACAATCCTCTCTCTCTCTCTCTCTAAATCAAAAACGCAATAATCTGTGAGATTTTAATGAAGTGAATTCCAGATGATGTTTTATCTTTTTAGTGATCATCGTTAAAATAAATTCGTTAATTCCAATTTTAACGATCGATTATTATTTCAACAAGTTACGAATATTCAAAATATCGTCATCGAATATTTCGATTATCGAATATCTTCTCAAAATTGAATATAATTTTGGGAAGATCGTTAAATATTCTCCATGATGGAAAATCGTATTTGCAAATTTGGAAGTAATCACGATAGGAAGTTAAAGAGAGATAGAAGGATAGAAATAGAGATGAAAATAGAGATAGAGTTAGATAGATAGATATATAGAGGGAGGGGGGGGGGAGAAAAGTGATTAAAATTTATACGCTCGACGAATTCAGCAACGTTTGCGAATTATAATGTAACGCGTGTGAGCTTGCCGATATTATACGAGAAACGAACGTGTTACCGAAAGATAGATAAAGATAGCAATATTTAGTAGAATTACATAGAAAAAGAGAGAGAGGGAGAGAGAAATGAGACTATTTGGAGCAGAATTCCTGTGTCCAGAGTATTGCGCAATTTATATTTAATTCTATTAACGATATAAACGATTACAATTGAATTATTCCATTATTAATTTTTACTAATAGTTTAATTTTTATTTATGTTTATATTACATTAATTATTATTATTCCAGATTGAGATATTATTGGTTTCGTTATTATTTAGGTAGTTGAATTTACGAAGGGGATTTGCAAATAAATTTGTCCAATGATTCGTGGCGTGTAAATGACGTATTAGACGCGTTATCATCGTTCTAGGCCAATTACATTGCAAATATTAGGCTCGAATAATTAAATCATTGTATTATTATTTAGTTAATTTTCTCCAATGATTAAGCGAGCCTTTACTCGTATTAATTATATGAATTTTTATTCATTAAAATTGTCAATGATCTTCATGAGATATAAAAGAATTAAAAGATTCAATGATTTATGGCGTGAGTCAATGATGCATTTAACGCGTCATCCTTCAAGGCCAATTAAACTATAGACATTAGGTTTTATTTATTTCATTGAATTAACATGAACTATTCATTGTATTATATATATATATATTATATATAGAATTAAAAATAATTCTTAGAGTTAAAAAAAAGTTTTTATTTAATTAATTATTAGTATAAATAATAAAATAATTGAATGATATATGAAAAAAATGTAGAAAAACCCTGACGCCAACCCTGACACACCCGATGAATCATTTGTATAGTGCTGCCTGTAGATTAAAATTGTCAATGATTTTGATGACGTAATCTTGAATGAAATGATTCAACGATTTATGGTGTGTTTCAATTTAATTATATTTTTTTAAATATTATTATATATTATAATCCATAAATCGTTCATAGTTAAAAAGAACAATCAGAGAAGTTGAGAATGATTGACAAATGATTTCATGGAAAAGAATTATTATCATTTCGTTTCTGTTTAAAAGAGCGTTCGAGTGTTCGAGAAAAACGAGATGATTAGTAAAAGCTAGATGAGGATTTTAATAGTAACTACTGTTCGACTTTTTTTTTTTCTTTCTTTTTTTCTTTCTTTTTTTTTTTTTTTTAATGAAGGGCTTCGTTAGTTGCAGATTGCCGCTGTCGACTACTCACTTCTATTTCTTTTCTCTTTATTCTTCTTTTTTAGTTAGTTTTATTCTCTCTTTCTTTCTATCTTTTAATCTTCAACAAACTCTTCCATTTTTCACCGACATTTCGTTTATTATACCACGAAGAGGAGTTTGTCATGAAGAAAAGACCAAGACAAAAATAATAAAAGTGTCATCTCGTAATAATACAAGTATATAAAATAAGATAGAAGAGAGGATCTTTAGCAATGAATATGAAATAAAATCAAAATAAAATAAAAAAATAAAAAATTAATAAAAGAATAAAAATGTGATAAGAAAAAGGTAAGTCGGATGATAAGCGTCAAAAGATTTGCGTTTGAGAGTTAATTACAATTTTTATTTCATTTTTTTGTTGTATCCTCCTTTCTTTTCCCCCTACCACCTCTTTTGCCTTTTTCATCTTCTTCTTATTTTTTTCCTGTCATATTTTTATTCTCTTATTTAATATTTTTGTTTGTACTTTTTTTTTTCAGCCTTTTAAATCTTAACTCGTTACTTCTGTTAATAACGTCAACATTTTCTTAGATATCGTGAAAAAATATCCCGCTGGTAATGGTCAGTTATAAGCTTACCCGGTGAAAAGTTAGGAAAGAGTGAAGAAATGAAAAAAGAAAGAAAGAAAGAGAAAAAGAGAGAAGGAAATAAGGGTGGGTTGAGGGAGAAAAGAAAGTAAAGAAAGAAGAAAAAAAAATAGAAAAGCTCGTTAAGCGTCAGGATAGAGAGCTCTACGGGATATAGTTATGTATATATATACATATATATACCTGTAGGTATATATACTAACGCGTTTAACGAGGAAAAGTGACTGAACACTTGGTCGAAGCTATTATGTTAATTTTAGCCACCTTCTCGTTGAGGAAAATATACAGAAAGAATGAGAAAAGGAAAAAAGAAAGAAAGTCAAGAGAAAGAGGGAGAGAGAGAGAGAAGTGAGAGAAATAAAAGTATCGCAAAATTTTTACTTAAAGGAAAATTCTTGTGATTATATAAAACGACTAGGATGTTTCGGCCACGTGTGTTGTTGTTGTGGCTTTGTTATATAAAATGTTGATTTAATATAATTCTATAAATTATTTAATAAAGGCAAATTAATATTCAATAATAATTTGTGGAAATTAAAATTAAACATGAAAAAACATTAATTTTTGTTGTTCTTTATTTCGCTTTAGAAAAATACAAAAGGAAAAAAAGAAAATGATAAAAAGAGGAAAATAGAAGGGATTCGATTTACAGGAAAAATCTTGCACTGAAAACTACGAAGCCCTCGAGGGATCAAGGAAAAGGGAAAAGAACCGAAGAAAGATGGGTAAGATAAAAAGATGGAAAAAGAAAGGTGGAAAGAAAGATGGAAAGAAAGAATACTTCTTTTACAATTTGGAATTCATAAAAGAATATAATACTCCTACTTCTCTTCTTCACGATGCTCAACGTAATTTACTCTCTACGCGTTTTTCCCCCTTCCCCTTTCCTCTTCAATACAAAATTTCCTACTGTATCTTGCATTTATGAATTCCAAAATAGATATTCAAGGTTGATGCATAATTAATCGAGTTGAGATCCATCCCAAGCGTTACCAACGTTGTATCAGATTTTTTTTTCTTAAATCTTCCTTTCCCTCACCGCCCCTTCCATTTTTCGAAGTTTACCTTGCCGTTTGATATTTTCATTTTGAACGTTTCATTAAAGTGAACATTTTTAATTAATCTTTGAAACGATCCTTAACTTTTAAAACTATTGACATTTCTATGAATCAATAGGGATTATTGAATTGAAGTATAAT